TATTCTAGAAGTGGGTATGGATTATAAATAGAGAGGTATGTCAAGGGTAAGGAAAACCTGGGATTTGGAATAGGCTTGGAACTTGGGAGAGAGCGCACCTCTCGAATGTGCTGCACCTTTGGCTGTTCTAGTTATCACATTGTAATAGCTTTATTTTCTGCATTTCATTTCTTTCTCTTTTCTTTACTGTAATTGTGTTTCTTCTTCAATATATATCAGAAAATCTGGGTTTCAGGACAAAATACTTGTGTTATGTTATTCTTTGTTGAATCTGTAATTTGGATCTTATCAATTGGTATCAGAGCCCTCTGATCTAAGGGGCTTTGAAGGATATAAAAAAAAAAAAAATGGAAAATCAATTTCATAGGAAGAAGATCCCTGTATTTTCTGGTGAAGAAGATATATATGAATGGTTAAATTGGATAGAGTGGTATTTTCGCAAGAATGGTAGATCGGAAGTTGAGTGGCTATCACAAGTGAGAAGAGCCTTGCGGGGAGAGGCTTGGGACTGGTATTTTTGGTGGAAGCTCCAGACTATGGAATTTACATGGTCGCGATTCCGAGCGGATATAGTCCAACAATTTCTACCGTTTGTTGAGATGAAGAATTGCCTCAGACATAGAAGAGAAGTCCCAAAGTTCTATGGAGAAGGTGATGAAGCTTGGGGATGGCTAATCTACCTGGAAAAATATTTCAAAGAAGAAAGAATTCATGAAGATGAGAGGCTGACAGAGGCTGTGAAAGGGCTTAGAGGATCTGCACTGAGATGGTATAACTGTTGGAGTTGGCTTAATCCTAAGGTAAGCTGGAGGAAATTTGAGAGAGCTTTCATAGAAAAATATCTACCTCAGATTTGTTTGGTAGATGATGAACCAGAACCAGAAAATAAGACGCTGAAGGAGGAGAGGATCGAAGGTGATAAAAAGATGAGGGATGAGGTTCAAGGAATGCTCAAATATACAGATCCAGAACCTACGAAATTAGAGAAGGTGCAAAAAATTGAACAGATTCAGAATATGGAGGTCGAATCAGAACTTCCACAACCAGAAATAGAGTCGCCAAAAGAAATTGTGTTGGAGGAGTCAAAAGCCATAAGAGAAAAGAAAACAGAAACAGTTGGGAAGCACCACGTGATCTACAAAGAGATGGACCCACTAGTTGTTCGAAATGAGGAAGTGATGGAGTGATTCCAATTGTTGCAGAAAAACCCACCTATGTCGCCAGAAATGATGAAGGAGAAGAAGATGTTGAAGACGACTTATTTGGAGAAGCGAAACCAGACTTGGGCAATTCACAAGTTTGGGCTGGGCCGCACTAATCAATCCTTCAAAGGGGCTTCAAGTGTGTCACGCGTCAGGCACGTGCCTCACTTATCCAACTCTGCCAACACGCAAGCTGAAACGCTGGTCTCTGGTACAGCACTGATAAAGGACGCGCGTTCAGAAAATACCTCTGGGGCAATTGGAGACTTGCGAACCCTAGAAGGCTTTGGAAGTAATGGGACGAAGGGTGAGGAGAGAAGACTCACTAGCTCGGAGCATCTCTGCAGGTTTGCGCAACTTCAGTTTTTGTGCGTGGACGACGCTCAATTCGAAGTGGAGATTGAGGAAGAACGAGAACGAAGCAATAAGAGGAACGTGAGGAAGGTTTCGATTGGGCCGGCAACAATACCACAGCCGCTGAAGCCACCGGACAAGAAGCGCGTTGAGAGAGCGGAGCAACACAGCCATGAACGATTGAAGCTGCAAATGTGTGCAAAAGACGGATGGGAATATTGGGGCAGAGTAAAGAAATTGGCTCAATTTGTTAACACAGAGGATCAGGTCCAAATTTTTATTAAATTGTCCAAAGCCCATCTTCTGCATGTAACGATTTCGTTTGACATTTGGGCTTGTGAGCCCAAAATCATGTTTGGACCTATTTGTCCCCAAACATTTGGGTGTTGTCCAGCAAGCCAAGAAAGGTGAGAATTCACGATGGAGGAGAGCAGAATTTACGTTTCGAGGTTGAAGCTCCAATTTGATGATTTTCAAGCAAGACCAAATTCATCTGTAGTGTACCAAGGTGTTGTTTGTTATTTGGAAGTGAGTATTAGTTCTAGCAAAGAAGCATTTATTTTTTATTTTGGCAAGGACTTCAATATTGCAAAAGGATTTATATATTCATGGAGGGTTGAGATAGATGTCCTAATAGCTGTAGTTGGATGTGGGGAAGGTACTTGGGCAAATGATGAAAAGATATTTACAGATAGAACTACTGCAGAGGAGCAATGGGATCCCGGCAGAGGTTATATTGCCTCATGTATTAGTTGGCCATTATATTTCAAGCAATGGGACCCCGGAAAACGATCATCACCTTGAGGACAAGGTAATTGTTAGGGGGGGAGTATTGATACGACACCAGTCCTTAAAGAGTATTGTAGGAAGCATAGCATATTCCTATCTCAATGCTGACTCAGCAAGTTAGTTAGTTAGTAGAGAATATTCTAGAAGTGGGTATGGATTATAAATAGAGAGGTATGTTAAGGGTAAGGAAAATCTGGGATTTGGAATAGGCTTGGAACTTGGGAGAGAGCGCACCTCTCGAATGTGCTGCACCTTTGGCTGTTCTAGTTATCACATTGTAATAGCTTTATTTTCTGCATTTCATTTCTTTCTCTTTTCTTTACTGTAATTGTGTTTCTTCTTCAATATATATCAGAAAATCTGGGTTTCCAGGACAAAATACTTGTGTTATGTTATTCTTTGTTGAATCTGTAATTTGGATCTTATCACATAGTTAAGGGAATAGCATGCAAAAACATAATATCAAATCTCAATAGCAATACAGTTTCTCCGGCGATCACCTCCTGTAGGAGTAAGGAAAGGCTTTATTAAGTTGAGCTTACTTTTTTGTTTCCAGGTGTATTTCTGTGGAGCAAAATGCTCATAATTTTTAAGGTTCTTTCTTATCTTTATATCTTTTATGTGATACAAATCTGCTCATGGCCTACCACCACTGCTCAGGCCATGATTTCTTTAAGGAAATCTCCTTGAGTGATATGCAAAGGGATTAGAGACTGTTAGGCCCCTAAAAGTTTATGCTAGGAAAAGATACAAGAAATCACTCCCACCCACTGAGTCCGCACATATGCTGTTAAGGGAGAATATTGTTGCTAACAGAATGCATGATGACAAAAATGTTGCTGCTGCTGACATGTTTAACAGAATGCATGATGGGGACCTTGGTTAAATAGAGAAAGTTGCATGATCATAGGTATTCATGAATTTTGGGCTAATCTTGGGAGGGAATTCAGATCCCCTCGAACTGCTCTGTGCTTGGATTCCATTGTCACTATTTTTCCTTTCTTTAGTTATTTTGTTTTATTGCGTCCCCTGTAATCTTTCTTTCTCATTCCCAGAAATTGGTGTTTGTAATTTTGTAGCAAAATTCTGTTGAATATGCTAAATCAATATCAGAACCCGTTTCTTGTTTCTTCATTACATTTCTGGTAGTAGTTGGTATCTATCAGAGACCTTTATAGTTTTTTATGGAGATTGTTTGTTTTTGTGCCTTGTTTGAAGGGGATTTCTAGTCTTACTCTTCTATTCCTCTCTTCCACCTAATAATATTTATTCTCTTATCAAACAATAATGGACAGGTTGCACTGAACAGATGAAAGGTGGAAAGAAGTTGACCAAATTAAAAGTTAAAACTATGAAGATCAGACACTTCAAAAAAGGGGCCATCTTTGTATCAGACACATATAGGACAGACGATAACTTGTATCACACATGACACAACACTTCAAATCATAATGAACACACTAAATTTTTCTCTGTCACAGTTCCCACGCCAATTTTCATGTTTCTTAGTCGAGGCATCCTAACTGCACTCATAGTTTTATTCAGTAAAATCCCATAGGAGAGACCTAAAAGTCATGTTCGTGTTTAGATTAAGGCTACTTCACAGTACAGGAACACAGGTCATAGTCTTACTGCCTGTTGCCAATAACAGTATCAGAAGAAATGCATCAACCTCAATTAATTGATTTCAAATTATATTATTTTATCAAGTGGTGTAAAACTGTGAGTGTTCACCTCAGGATTCGGGACCACTTATCACATTCAATTCAAGGTCATACAATTTTATTATTTGATGGGCCACGGGCCTGAAAGTTAGTGAATTAGTTAGTTATCGAAACTATTTTAGAATATTTCTAAAGTATAGGATAAAAGGAGAGCGAGTGTGTGTAGTGAGGTATGCATGTATTTAGTATTGGTTTAGTGGGGAAAGTGGGGGACCTCTAGGGAACTCTTTGGAGCTTAAGTATGTTGGCTTTGAGGGGGAGTTGAGGTTTTCTCGGTTTATTTTCTGCCATTTATGTTGTAAGGAGCTTGTCTCCATTTATGTTTTCTTCATTATCAATTTAATAAAATTAGGTTCCATCAATTTGGTATCATAGCACTTCCGATGTAGGGGGTGCTTTCTGGTTCAGATGAAATATATATATGGGCGGAATCAGTGATTTAGAGCTTAGGGAAGGTTTGCAAAAAATTGTGAAGGCATGAGGCAATAGAGAAGATGGAGAGACAAAGGCTCGAATACCAGAAGTGGAAGAGTTAGAGCGATAAAAGAATAAAAGAAGCAGCAACGGCTGAAGAAGCGAACGAGGAAGAAGACGCAGATCAAAAAACAGAAGAAGATAACGACGGTGCAGAAAAAGAAAAAGAAATAGATGAAGAAGAAATAGAAAATGGAGAACAACCAGAGAAAGAAGACGAAAAAGAAAAAAAAAAAAAAAGATGAAATTGAACCAAAAAAAAAGAAAAGAACCAGAACAAAAAAAAGAAAAAAAAGACGAAACAGAAATAGAAGAAAGCAACAAGGAAGAAACAATAGCTATGGAGGGGAAAAGAGCTACGCAAGGAGGGACAGAAGAGAACGTCAGCGGCAGTGACAGGCACACAAGGTACAGACGGCTGACGACGGAGGAGATGGCTGACCGCCGGTGACGTAACCTAAGCTTCAGATGTGGTGCACCCTTTTTCTCGGACCTGTGCAGTAACCTGAAAATCCACGAAAGGTTGTTAGGAGCGGGAGTTGAAAGCGAGAACGAGAACGACGAGTGGTGGCGCACCAGCTCGCAGAGAGAATCGAAGAGAAGAATAAGATATGTGAACGGGTCGAGTCAGTCTTGGGGCGAACTGGTAATGGAGCAATGGTTGGAGTAGGTCATAGCATTGGGCAATACAGTCTTTTCACTTATGGGAAGTAGGCCCAATAGAAATAACATTTACTTACTTAATGGGCTGGTAATGATGGGCACAATAAATTCAGCCCAATAAGAAGGGCAACTAAGCAATACAAGAAGTAGAAACAGAGGTCGTGGGTCATGGTTTGTACAGCTCAATACAATGCTAATTTTTTATCTTGCTGGAATTCGTCTATTCTCCCAAGAGACAGAGGAGGATGCAAGTCTCGAATATGATATATTTGCTGTAATTGGATGGATTTTGGATAATATGATTCATGAAACGAAAATGTTGCAGTTGCTAATTGGGTCAATATGCTTCAAGTAGTGGGATGCTGGTGGATGTTTTCTCGCATCACCTACTACCTTCCTCACCTTGAGGAAAAAGTGAATTTTGGAGGGGGAGTATTGATGGGTCATGGGCCTGAAAGTTAGTGAATTAGTTAGTTTGTTATGGAAACTATTCTAGAATATTCCTAAAGTATAGGATAAAAGGAGAGTGAGTGTAGTGAGGTATGCAGGTATTCACACATATTCAATATTGATTTAGTTGGGAAATTGGGGGACCTCTAGGGAACTCTTGGAGCGTAGGTATGTTGGCTTTGATGGAGAGTTGAGGTTTTCTGGATTTATTTTCTGCCATTTATATTGTAAGGAGCTTGTTTCCATTTATGTTTTCTTCATTATCAGTTTAATAAAATTAGGTTCCATCATTATTGAAGTTGAATAAGTTCTAACATCTAATGCAAATGCTAACAATTCCATCTAACTTCAATTTCATTAGGATCTCAAACAAAAACAATTTAACTTTAACTTTTCAAAAAAGGAATGCAAAAGAAACATACCTGCGGGATCACTATTGCAAGGTTTAGGACTCCCATTGACAATCCTGAAAATACCAACAAATTAATATAAATAATTATAGAATCATATATCCCAGAAAGAATAAATAAGCCATGAATCCTACCCACCTTGGCCAAGCCCCAGTGACTGAATATGCGTGGAAATTAATGCATATGGAACACTGTAAGTGATCTGAAATAATCCAAGAAATTAGATCAAATTAACTGTAGGACTCTGAAATTATATAAATATATATTTCAGCTCGTGCACAATTAATGGAGCCAATTCCAAACTTTCATTTGTGACCCATCATGATTCTCAAATTGAAAGGTATTAGAAAATATGCCAGTTTGAGATAAGGAGATTATCCAGCCAAGACACTTCACATGTATGAGCCACTGAGATTTTTTAAAAGAAAAATGCAGGCACACCATAATATGACTGTTTATTTTGAGGAACATAGGATAACGAAAGGGTCAGTTTAAGTTTAAGTTAAGGAGAATATGTAGCCAAAATCAAGCCAATTAAGATACTTGACATGTATGTGCTGCTGAGATTTTAATAAAAAAATGCGGAAGGAGAGAATTTGAGTCTTTATTTTAAGCAACATAGGAGACAGAAAGGGTGCCTTCAATATTGACAGAAAAAGAAAGAACAATATGCCTATAGCAGTAGATAGAGCAACTCACTGCCAGTGGAAACCCAAGAATGGTAAAGATTGTCAATGCAGCCATAACAATGCCGGACGGTGGTAGATCTTTGCCTACATAGCCAATTTTGTTTGCCACATAGGTTACTACAAGCATTGCAATAAAGCAGACAGCCATCAGGATATTTGAGATTCCCCACACAAACCCAGCTCCCCGCTTCCTACATAGCCTTTCCATGAGCACTGATGTTATTCCAAGAACAACTGAATTAAGCAATAAACCAAGCGCTCCCATCCTAACTCCAGTATCATAATTAGGGCCTTGATTTGGCTCACCACCATAAATCTCTCGGCCCATCCAATCAGTATCAAATAGAAGAAATGGAAACCACCCAATCCATGTTAGAGCAGTAACAGACAGTATTGTCCATATAGATTTTGAAAAATATCTGAATGTCCCAAATAGCTCCCACAGGAAAGCTTCTTCTGCGCTACCTGACTCCCCTGCTGAGTGTGCCCCACTTGAACCTAGAGGCACTTCATGAGCTGCCACGATGCTGATATAGGTGGTGAGGGCAATGAAACCAATGTCGAGAAAGAAAGCTGACTTGAGATTTGCACAACTAATATTGCATGCAGGGGTAAGTGTGAAAGAAAAGACCTTGTACCAACCACTATAGGATCCGGATGCATAACCAAGAATGTTACCAATAGCCATAAACAGGGAAAAATAAGCATTTGCAACACGTGTCCTTCGATGATCCTTGCCTAACATTCCAAAGAAGAAAAAGATATGAAAACAAAAAATAAAGGGTGTCAATTGGTTGTTCGTTTTTCATAGTTTATTACTTCTATTTTTCATAAGAATTCCAATTGAGATTGGATAAAATAAAATAAAAACTAACTCTCTTTTTTCTTCTTCTTTTTTTGGGGGGGGAGGGGTTTTGTGAGGGAGTTTTATTGAGACATTGAGGGCCACCTTTGCAAAACAATGTAAGCCAGATGCAATGAAAATAAAAGATAATTACCAAGTCCTTTCAATTTAACTGAGAACTGCATTCAGCAGTACATATCAAGCAGAAAATCATCAGGGGAGAAAGAAACTCCAGTAAAAATTGATGCAGAACTAATCTATTTTCAATTATTCTGATTTTTGGGATCATTTTATCCATTTTTTGGGAAAAACTAGCTTAGGTCTTTATCCTTTCCTACTACCAAACATGAGAAAGAAGAAAATATTTTTGTCTGCCCAAAATCTGGTACAATATTTGTGTTTTCACACATCCACCAACGTTTAATTCTGAATTTTTTATTTCAGATTTCAACCAACATAGGAGAATGCCATTACAATTTACAAACCTAAAAAATGATTTTGGACATAAAATAATCAAGACCCAAACACCACCTTCTGTAGGCCTACAGAAAATGTCCCAACTAACCAAATTATCTATCCTCATAATCTTCTCAACCCTGTTGGCAACTACGGTCGAATTAAGATAACTAGTAAAGAGGAACAACAGGAAAATAAACCTAAATATTTTTTTTCTCTCTCCTATTTGCTAAGACACCTTCCATATCTCTTTCAATGGAATCTTCTTTTCATTTTTAATTTAAAGTTTTTTATTTAAAAAATCCTATATCAAAATAACTTCACTTTCCAACATAATTCTTCCAATTATCTAGTCATTTAAAGATCTTCAAAATCACAGGGTCTCAAAACAAGAAAAAACAAGATGAAAAAGAAAATACAAGGACTTCAACCAAAGGGACCCCCAAACAAGTAAGGGATGGAGAACCTGGCACAAAGCCAAAGCAGCTGAAGTGGAAGACCCTGAATTTCTGCATTAATAGTAGCTAACCCGTTCTATGCCAAATTCAAATCTCAGTCTACCTCGAATACATGAAGAAGAGGTAACAAGTTTAAAAAACTTATACATGTATAAATAACTTAAACCAACTGCTCATCACCTAACACAAGTAGACAATCAAACTACTTTTGGTAAATAAATGGCCATATGAAGTCATGCTCAATATAAACATGAACCATAGTTGGGCATTGAAATCATTAAGTTGACATGGGATATGCATCTTGAATAAAGATCAAACAGAATCCAGCTGCACCCCCATAGTGATAGGATATATCCTATAATAATGAACCATGGTTCCAAATGCTTAGCAATTAGCACCAATTTTGACCTTTACCAGATCATAAATGTAAACATTTGTTCCAATTTTGTCCCAAACTATCAACTTGGTGACACCTTATCATTGATTAGCCTTGGCACAAGTGACGCAATCTTATTGTGTGGAGTCTGGTATCAAACAAAAATTACCAAGCTGCTAATCTATACCAAAAGCACACATTAACATTTCAAATTGAACACCAACTTTTTATCTACTAATTTGTCATACAAGTTAATTTGTTAAAAATTGAGAGATCAGCATTATGTAATACCCACTTTAATGAAATAATTAGCCATTATAGTTAGATTATAAATTTAAAAGTTTTTGAATCTTCCCATGACATGTTACTTTAATAGTGATAACTCTAATGATGACTATATTGGTGCCAAACTGAATATATGAGAACCTGCTTATATTTAAGAAAAGAGTACTGTCAGACAAAAAAAAGACACCTCATTCATATTGAAGGAGGAAAGTGCATATTCAAGCTAGGAGAAAGCCAAGAAATTAATATGTGATGCTCATATACATTACATTGTGAGTCAGTATTTTTAAGTTGCTATTCTGAATCCAAGTTCATTAACAAAGCACATTTGAGTTATCTTTTATTATTTGTGTATATATGAAGGCATAGATATTCATAAGCACAAATGAATTTGCTCAAGAATAAAAGATATAAGCATCTAGCAGTAAATACAGGAATTTCATTTCAAATATTTGAAACAAAAGTTCTGACATAAAAACATATCAACAAAGAAAGAGCATAAGGAAATAGTTACTTAGTGAGAATTTATTGGTGAAAGTTTTGTTTCTTCTTTTCCTTTATCGGAAAAATCATCTGAATAGTAACCTATTTTTCTGACATAAGTGAAACACATAAGATATTATTGAGATTAGATGTACTTCATGAAGTGTTGGGAAAAGATTTAAGTTTTAACTTCAAAACCGGAAATATAACATGTAATATGATTTTTAAATGAATAGAATTTTTAAACATTATTTCAATCATATAAAAGGTATGACTGCGTATAAAGATTTGCCCTCACCCCTACACTCGCTAGGAAGGGTTTAATGAGGAGTGATTTTTATTATTTCAATCAAATCTATTTCAAACTAAATTCTAAAAATCTAGTAGGCCATTCCATTTTCAAGGGCCTATACAGTACACTCTGTGTCATAAAGTTGTTATTGGCCTACCATGTTGTAAGACCCTCTTTAGATAAAACTTGTAGAACCCAAAAATTTGTCAAACTCAACTTTAGAATTTAGTTGCCTCGGTTGGATGCTCAATTTCCGATGAGCAACAATAAAGTCTACAACGTTATACAGAGCGGAATGTTGGCCAAAACATAGACAATATGAGCATAAAATAAGAGTAGCAAAAATAAGGATGTTAAGGTAGATAAGTGGTCATGCAAAGATGAAAAAGATAAAAAATGAAAATATTTGAGAAAAGGTGGGTGTTGTACAGATGGCTGAAAAGATGAGAAAATATAGATTGAAATGACTTGAGCATATTATTCGAAGACCCCTAGATGCTCATGTAAGAACAAAAGTTTGTTACCAAGAGCATGACACAAAGAGAGGAAAAGATCGGCTGAAACTTAATTGGAGGAAAGTAGTAAAACTAGATTTAATTGAGTGGGAGCTAGATTGGAGGATGGTGTGCCTTAGGATAGAGCAGAGGAAAACTATTAGCAGTGTGGAGGGGTAGACCCCTTTTTTTCCTATGTTCCAGACAACCTTTTTAAGTTCTTGTTCCTGATATTTATTTATCTTTCTTTCTAATTTACTTATTTCTTATTATTTAGTTATTTTTCCTCTCCCTTATTTTACTTCGTATTTTTCATTTTATTTTTTTCAATTTTTATTTATTATTTTTTTTTCTCAATCTTTGATTTTTTTTTTGATTAATTGATTGCCGACCTCCAACTTGTTTGGGATAAAAGTGTTGTTGATGTTGATCTCATAATATCTTGATTGTATCTTAGAATAGTTTATTGATCGGATGATTTCTTAGGAATAATTTCTTTATTACTTTATATTTCATGATTTGTTTTCTCATTTCATTAGGATTTAGAATCTAATATTAGTATAAATATGGATTAGTGCTTAGTAGTTTGTATTAAATTATAACACATCAAATCAATTCATATAATTTTAATGTGAGCAACACCATTCTCCGTGACCTATCCCATCACTGTACCGTTCCCAAGTTTCCTAAAATCTAATATCTCCATGGTCCTTGTCTTCTTGCCAATCCTTGCTCCATACACCAAGGCACACCATTTTTCAATTTTGTCAGAGTTTTTTGGTCGTTAGCCTCAAGGCACAACTAGAACACTCTTTTCTGTGGTTGTAAGCCTTCGTTGCTGATCCACCAGTCTTCATTGTCGGATGCCTTCCGTCTATCAACCTGCATTGACAATTCACCAGCCTCCATTATTGAACCATCGGTGTCTTCATTGCAGTTGTCGCCTTCATTGCAACCCATCACTCTTAACTCATTGTCCACGCCTTCATTTTGCTTGAAGACCCATTGTTGTCGCCTACATTGCCAGCCACCATCTACCTGTACGCCTCCAATAGCTATGTCTTATGGAGCTCATATTATATTATTTGGTTATTTGTCCCTTTTAAAGGGTTCATTGGTAACAAACTTAAAGCTTACATTTTTTTAACATTTGTAAGAAGCTTAAAGCTTAGTAAGTTTTAACTTGACACAAAATCTTTGAATATATGAAAAAAACCTCATAATATCTTGATTTTATCTAAGAATAATTTAGAGTATCATAGATGATCTCTTAGGAATAGTTTCCTTAATTTTTATATTTCATGATTTACTTCTTTATTTAATTAGGATTCAGGGTCCAATATTAATATAAATAGGAATTAATGTTTTATAGTTTTATCATATCATTACAACAGTAAATATAAAATTATTAGTCAAGGTTTTGTTTCTTGTTATCAGAAAAACCGTCTGAACGGTAACCTATTTTTCCAACATAAGGGAAGATCCTAAGATATCATCAATAGATGTCCTTCATTAAGTGTTGGGAAAACTTTTTAACTTAAGAACTGAAAATATTTCAATTTTATATGAATTAATTTACAAAACAGGAAATGTAATTTGTAACATGATTTGTAAGAGAATAGAAGTTTTTAAACATATTATTCCAAACAAACCTACTTCAAACTAAAAAATCCTAAAAATCCAGTAGGCCATTCCATTTCCAAAGGCCTAAACAGTACACTCAGTCATAAAGTTGTAATTGATCTACCATGTTGCTGACCCTCAATGTGGATAAAAAAAAACTTGTAGAACCCAAAAATTGGTCAACTCAGTTTTAGAATTTAGATTCCTCTGCTGTATGTTCAATTGACCGCCAACCATATTATAAAATACTTCACAAATTAATAAATGATCAGTTGCGATCAACATTAAATACTCATGCTGATTATAGTGGCCATAGTTTGGTAAACAAGGCCAAAGCTAGACAAATAGATGAAATCATGCTATAACAGAGAGATGCATTGCACCAGTAACCATCTAAGTCATTTGATGCTGTCATACACTTACGGAGATTGCAGATAACCAACATAGAATCTCACAATAATGACAAAAATTGCAACAGCGTACAGTACAACTAAACATCCAGAGCTACGATACCATGTATAGTCTGATTTCCTAAATAAAAGTAATGCTTCGAGGTTGGACAACTAGATGTTGCTTAATTAGCACTTAATAAGAAAAAGAAAAAAATACTATTCACTCAGGACAAGGAATTTCAATTAGGGCTTTCATTTGCGCTGCAACGATAGCAAATTCAATTGTATCACAGGGAGAAGAAAGTTACCAGTAAGATCGCCAAGCAAAGCTCTACAAGGACCTTGAGTAACGTTGTTAGCCACGTCCAAAATCCAAAACCCGAACACAAAAACGGCCACAGCGTACTGCCGATGGTTCTCGGTGTCGCCAAACCACCACCCAATGTCCGCGGCGTGACCAATTAACAGAACAGAGATGACAATCGCCACTGCTCCGACTAATATGAACGGTCTCCGGCGCCCGAACCGGCTGGTGCACCGGTCGCTCATGTGGCCCACCAGGGGCTGAACCAGAAGCCCAGAGAGCGGGCCGCAGAGCCATATGATGCTGGCCCACGCGTGCGGGATCCCGAGCTGCTGCACGTACGGCGTGAGAAGCGATAACTGCAAGGCCCAGCCAAACTGAATGCCACCAGCCACTGACGCTACCCGAAGCAACAGCCTCAGCGGAACCCTAGCCTGAACCGGCGGTTTAGCCTTCGATGTTGATGGTCGAGACTTTGATGTTGACGGTCGAGCCTTTGATGACGACGGTCGAGCTTTGGACCGGTGAGGCTGACGTTGAGTTTCAGGATTCGCCATAGTGTGTGGTACTGTTCACAGCTCCAAGCCCTCTCTATCTTGTTTCCAATCTCTGTGTGACCGTTTCCTCAGGGTATCGCGGAAGACCAGGAGGAGAGAGAAAATCTGTAGAGAGACAGAGGTGGCGGTTTCGCTGGAGATGGCGCATCGCTGCGTAGTGTGATTCAGCTGTGACGGTGCAGTTCTGTTGCTGTGTGATTCTGTTGGTATGGACGTTTTCTTTACAAAAATACCCTCCCCCAGGATTTATTTACGGATCCGCCCTCGTATAACGGCGTTGATCGTGACGGGAAAATAACCGTTTCTTGAATGGCCAACTGATCTGTTTCCAAGGGCAATCTGAATTGCTTTCCCTCGCTTTTTAAAGTCCCAAACGAATATTAATTATCATTGTTAAATGACATCTTCACCCTTAAACGGAACTGGCACATAAACAACTACGACACCGTTATTGCAGAAAGTGGTTGTGTGTAATTTATGCTAGGTCTATTGAACTCCTTTCCTAACTAATTGTTCGTCATTTTGTTGTTGTTTCGGGTCCGTTTGTTCGATATATTTTGTGATTGGACACTCTTATTTGTGGGATAGGTACGTGCCATAATTTTAAAGTAGACATCATTTATGTAAAGAAAAAAATTATTATCACTTTAATTAAAACTATGAATTAAGAAATTATTATCATTTATGTCATTGTGTTTTTGTGTTTTAAAAGTTAAAAATCAAAATACAAAACAGTTATAACTTAGACATGTTTTCTAAATTTAATTTAAAATTTTAAAAAAATTATTTTTACAAAACAAACTTTATTAAACATTTATTTAATTTATTTTAAATTAAAAAACAATTTTTGAAAATGTATTCAAACAGACTCAAAGATACGGGAGATGAAAATGTCGACAACTCAGACGTAATAAAGTTTATGTTTTAACTTAGATGCAATTTCTTTTTTTTTTTAACCGTATTTATATTTCATTAAAATTAAGACATATGTTATGCGAGGGTCAGGAATGGAAATTGGATGTTATATTGGACGTTAGAAGAGTAGGGTTGTATATGGGATTACTCACGAATCACGATTTGTAATTGTATAACGAAGGAATTTGGTGGGGGGGGGGGAAGGAACTTTACCATTTAATTTTGCTAAGAGATATAATATAAAATAAATATATGTATCATCACTTTCGGTTTAAGCTTTTGGGAGATTTTATTGTATGATATGGCATTATAGTTTATTACCAAGCGTTCATCTTTGTCGCATACATCTTCGTTCAAATCCCACAGCTGTCATGTTACTTTTAGTTTTTTTTCTGCTTTTTACCTTTTTTTATGTATAAAAAAAAATTAAGCGCAAGACAATAAAATAATAAGTACTAGATTTGTGCATTATTTATGTTTTAAAGCTCAAAAGACTCTCACCTTGGGGCATGTTAGTAGAGGCGATTAGGTTTTCGTCTCTAATAGGATGAGTTTATAAACAAAACAAAATATGTAGAAAATAGAGTGTAGCATGTGGTATTAACTCATGTAGCATGTGTCATATATACTCATGTAGCATCTTTCATGGGAACTAATAATACTCGTATAGCATGGGCCATATAACTCTTCCCAAACTCAATTAATAGAGCTCATTAATGATTTTAACTGGTGAAGGGTGTTGGTTACGGTCTATTATATTACAGTAACAAGATTTAAGAAGTGTTCAAGTTATATTGAAGTATTGAAGGGTGTATTAAAGAATAATACAAATTGAGTTGAAAATGATTTTTTACATGATGATACTTTCTTGATCAACTTAAGCAAATAATACTACATTCTGATTTATAGTTATAGCTCTTAATTAATAATAAATATTGAATCTAACTAGCAATACGATAACTTTGTTAGATTAAGGAATTGTTTAAATTCAAAATATTGTTGTGTATGATTATATTTAGGAATTTGTTGAGATAGTTTGTTTTATCAATTCTATCATTAGTTTGTTATGCAGTTATGTTGTGTATAAATACTCTCATTTAGAAGAGAAAAGATATAAATGAAAAGAGGAAGTATTTTCAGTGTTCTTAATTTCCAAACACCCTACCAAGCTTTTACATCTCATTTTCCAACCCCACACTCTTCTAACCTTGAACCCCGCATCTTTGGTTGCACCACATACGTCCATATTTCAAAAAGTCAGAGGTCTAAATTGAATCCTTATGCGAAAAAATGTATTTTTGTTGGGTATTCAGATGTTCAAAAAGGATAACGTTGGTTTGATCCATTTTCCCACAAAATACATGTTACTTTAGAGGTCAGTTTCAGGGAGAATGAGCCTTATTATTTGGGGGGAGACTCCACTTCTTCTTCTCAGGGGGAGCAACCATCATCACAAGTTAATAGAGAAGATGAAGGGTGGATCTCTACTCATACAGCACCTATCTTTGCCTCGGAAACACAGAGACCTCAACCAGATGCAGCACACATTGATGAATCCGAGATAGAACAACATACAGCACCTGAAACAGCCATGGATGACATAATTGCTCACTCAGAAAATCCTAGTCTAACACACATAATTGAAGAGCCTCTTATGGTTGTCCCAGAGACTCAACCAGAACCTGTCACAGAGGTAACATCTATATCTTCTTCTCCTACAATAACACACATACACATCAGAAAATCCTATCGGATTAACAAAGGCATTCCAAAGCAATTTTATGAACCTGACCCCAAGGTTAAAGCCAAATATCCCCTTAGTAACTATGTATATCTACCCAACGCTTATTTGAATCATATGCATTATCTGTTAACCAATTATCTATTGTGTCAATTTGAAATAGTGTATAGGAAGCATTAGATGACCCAAATTGGAAAAAAGCAATGAACGTAGAGATGGAAGCACTCCAAAGTAACTCAACTTGGGAACTAACACCTCTACCAAGCGGAAAGAAAACAATAGGATGCAAATGGGTGTTCACAGCGAAATTGAAAGCAGATGGGAGCATAGACCGATACAAAGAAAGATTAGTAGCCAAGGGATACACACAGAAGTATGGGATTGACTACCAACAAACCTTTGCTCCGGTGGCTGAACTCAACACCATAAGGATATTAATCTCATTGGCAGCTAACAGGGATTGGCCCTTGAAACAATTTGATGTAAAAAATGCATTCTTAAATGGTAACTTGGAGGAGGAAGCTTACATGGACATACCACCAGGAGTACAACTAACTGAGTCAAAAGAAAATTTGGTCTGCAAATTAAAAAAGGCCATGTATGGACTCAAACAATCACCAAGAGCATGGTTTGAGAGGTTTTCTGTAGCAATGAAGAGATTTGGGTACAAACAGAGCAACTGTGATCATACTCTGTTTTATAAACTCTGAGCGCAAAAGTAACTATTCTAATAGTATATGTAGATGATATGGTGCTAACTGGAGATGACATTGACGAGAGGATGTCCCTTGAACATAAGCTGGCAACTGAGTTCGAAATGAAGGATTTAGGTCCTCTGCAATATTTTCTTGGGATAGAAATTGCAATATCTCAAGATGGCATATTTTTAACTCAGAGAAAATATACTCTAAATTTGCTATCAGAGATTGGAATGTTGGCCTGCAAACCAGCTGAGATTCCCATTGAAATGAATCATACACTTGAAATTTATCCCAATCAAGTGGAGGCAGACATTAGAAGGTATCAAAGGCTAGTAGGGAGGCTTATCTACCTTTCACACACTCGGCCAGACATTGCTTATGCAGTAGGGATAGTAAGCAGGTTTATGCATTCTCCCAGTGAAGACCATATGAAGGCAGTGTATCGAATTTTGAGGTAACTAAAAGGAACACCTGGAAAAGACATTATGTTCTCAAAAACCAACAAGAAGAACATTGAAGGATTCACTGATTCTGATTGGGCTGGAGACAAAACAACCATACAATCCACCTCAGGTTACTTTACATTAGTGGAGGGCAATCTAGTTACATGGAGAAGTAAAAAGCAAAAAGTTGTTGCAAGATCGAGTGCTGAGGCAGAATTCAGAGGGATGGCACATTGCATTTGTGAACTCCTATGGATTAAAAATATTTTGGGTGATTTAGGAATCAAGTATGATATTCTTATGAGTCTCTACTGTGATAATAAAGCATCTATTGAGATAGCTCATAATCCGGTCCAACACAATAGAACAAAGCATGTTGAAGTGGATAGACATTTTATAAAGGAAAAATTGGATCAGAAAATCATCACTACACCATTCATCATATCAGAAGATCAACATGCAGACATCTTGACGAAAGCAGTTTCGGGAAGAGTTTTAAACGAGACAATTGACAAGTTAGGCACGTGTGACATCTTTGCACCAACTTGAGGGGGAGTGTTAGATTAAGGAATTGTTTAAATTCAAAATATTGTTGTGTATAACTTTGTTTAGGAATTTGGTGAGATAATTTGTTTTAAGAATTTGTTAGAAGATTATTCGGTTATATCTTTAGTTTGTTATGCAGTTATGTTGTGTATAAATACTCTCATTCAGAAGAGAAAAGATATAAATGAAAAGAAGAAGTATTTCCAGTGTTACAAGTCTTGACAAACTTAATTATGAGTTTGATTTTCAGAAAGGAATAAATTGCTAGGAGATGGGTGATACGAGGGGGATTGTTGATTTCGGATGCTAGTCACAAACCAACGAGTGTAACTCACTTTGATGTAGAATGTAGACCTCATCAATTGTCATATTATTTGTGAAATAGAGATGATGCAATGTAAAAGATATGATGACATGAATCATTGCAAGTTGCTTACTGACGATTGCGATCCAATATGGCTTTCTTTTCGTGCCATTGCAATTTGGTATTTGACAACTTGCCGAAATGTCCAGTGGACTCTAAAGATATCAGTGATAATGCTGCTCTGTGAGGCCCAATATTGCTTGCACATGGAAACATTGGGCTACGGACTGTGAACTCAAGCGACCGAAGAAATAAAAAAGTTAGTAAAACGGAAACAGTGTGCGAGTTTTCCTTCATAGCCGGAAAGCTGGCATCGTTACTTAGTCAAAGGAGTCACCGCCTCATGATACACAGAAGCTAATAAACAATTCAGAATTCAGACATGCATGAATTCTCTGGTATGGAGTAGAAAGCTGTCGTTCTAAACCTAAGAAATGAAAATAAAGACATGTTAAACTATTTAAGTACCGATTTGGTTCAGATTTCAAGCCCTTCGATATATTGCTTGTCCTGATCACATGTCAATTCTCACAAATGCTTTAAAAAAAAAATGCCCTTGTGCTATAAATTAAAGGGATAAAGTATTCTCCAACTGTAGATAAATTATTTTCGTAACTCTCAAAATTAAGTTATTTTGAATTAAAAAAAATATTCTCGTAAATTTAAGAAAAATATTGAAGAATATTTTGATAAAATTGTAGAATAAAAAAAAATTATTGAGTACAAATATACATAAGAGATAAAGGATCACTAGACTAGAGACAAACGGAAGAAGCACGAGTATTGGGAAACGAAAAAGGGCGACTTTTCGGAAATGAAGATTGAAGAGACGCGGTTGAAAATAAAATGGCACGACTCTTGTAAGTTGTAACCTGATTCATAACTATTTATACAACAGTTCTCCGCGTCATTGATCCCCTGCCACACACACTCTGTCTCTGGAATAAATATTAAGTGCATCGTATCTAAATTTAGTGCATCATGTTAATAGAAATATTATACATCACAGGATAGAGAAAGAATTTGAAGAAGAAAGAAAATTTTGAGTGACATGTAATGTTTGTGTTGATGGGATGCACTAAGAGCACATTTGGATGAGTTTTTTTTGTTTTTAAAAGCTGTTTTTTTTTTTCAAGAAAAAAAAACACTTTTTATTTTTAGTTCGTTAGATGTATGCTTTAAAAAAAACAGAAGTCACAAAAAAAAGTCACAAATCTATTTTTTCCGGAAGTCAAAAATTTTAATTTCTAAGAAAAACAACAGTCAAAAGTCAAATATTTCTTTTAAAAACTCAATATTTTTATAAAAATATAAATAGCTTTAATTTTTATAAGAAGCACTTCTGAAATAAAATAAAAAAGAGATAAAAATTACTTTTTTTTTTTTGTGAAACCCAAACAAATGAGTTCTAAATCTTTGGTGACACCAAAAATTTATTAGTGTCTCTGGCTTCCACCGCCATGACGAAACCAACAAACACACGCCCTTCCTTAACTGCAAAAACCTTACCTGCTAAGAAATTCTATTATCCAACAATTAAAAAATCGCAAAAGAGACAACACAACACTTTAGCACTTTACACTATAAATTGCTGCATTCTCAAATATCAAATGCACCAACTACTCTTTAAAGAGAGAGAGAGAGAGAGAGAGAGAACGACAATGTTGGTCGAGCAATCATTTGAGGCCTTCTACGATGAGTGGCTTGTGCGACAACAGAACATGCTAGAACAGCTTCTGAGCGTGTCAGCCATGCCCGATTCTCCAACCAAAATTGACCACCAGAAAATGTTAATCGAACAAGTCCTCTCTCATTACCAGGAATATTTGGAAGAGAAATCAAAGGTAGCTAACGTTGATGTCTTCCTTCTTTTCTCGCCGACTTGGCTCTCTGCATACGAGCGAGCTTTGCTTTGGATTGGGGACTACAAGCCCTCCCTGATTCTCCGCCTTGCAGACGGCGGCGTTGAGGGGTTAACGACGGAGCAGAAGCAGATGATAGAGCAATTGACGAATGAGACTAAGAGAGCGGAGAGAGAGGTGTCGGAGGCAATGGCCGGCGTTCAAGAGAGCGTGGCGAAACCGCGCGTGGTGGGATGCTCCGCGATTGAAGGGCTCAAGAAGCCCCTGATGGGTGTTTCCGAGAAAGCCGACAACCTGCGTGCCTCGACGATGAGGAAAGTGGTTGGGATCCTGAGCCCGTCCCAGACGGTGCAGTTTCTGTCGGCGGCGACACACTTTCAGCTGCGGGTGAAGGAGGTTCAGTATGCAGCAGACGGACCAGTGGCGTTTGAAATTGAATGAGAGAGTGAAAATCCCCAACAAATGTCTCATCTTACGCGTGCGTGCGTGCATTTGGGTTTTTAACTTGGCTGCTGAAAACTGAAACTGGGAATTTTTCACTATTAGGAGCTTTTTTCATGATTTCTCTATTGAGTTATTAATAATTAAATAGAATAGTGTCGAGGACTTCGTGCTACCTAAAATGAGCAAGGTGGCATTTATTTCCTGTTTTTAGTATTGCTGGTAGCAGCAGTGCTTAATAAAGTAAACTTATTTATAATTATGTTTAATGTTATTCAAAGCAACCATTCAATAAAAAATTAAGCAAAAAATATTTTGATTTTATTTTATTTAATCCAATGTGAGTGACCTTGTCGGTTGTCACGGCTATGCCAATACAAGAAATTGACATCTCATGAGTTTTACCTTTTACTTTCTTCAATAAAAAAGTAATATTTGTTATTTTGTAAATTTGTTTCATAAAATTCATTTTATTTGGTGTTTATTTAAAGGAAATTAATTTTTTCATTTTACATGAAATTTTTTCCTCATGTTACACATACAATACATGAGTGAGGTCCACAAAAAGATAATAAGATAAAAAAGTCAAGATGAGACCCACTCATGTATTGTGAGTGTAGCATAACAAAATTTTCTCATGTAAAATGAAAAAACGATTTTCCTTTATTTAAACTCTTCAAGGGAAGAAATAAAGTGATTAAGTATTAGATAAATTTCTAAATGTATAAAAAAAAAAAACTATATAATTCAAGCCCATAGACAGACACATTTAACCCATTGGGCCATACATCAAATTGCTGACTCGCAATCATTTTAATCCAATCCAGCTCAAAATTTATTTGACCCGCATTGGGTTAGTCCAAAAAAACAAGTTGAATGGATATATCTAATTGTATTAGTAGAAATTGCATGTCAATTTTATTTTATTTTTTGGTCTTCAAATGAAAACACATTTGCTGCATTTTTTAATCTTAATTTTTTTAATTACCAAATAAGTAAACTTTGAAAATATTTTACGTCTGAATATTGGTGACAATTTTAATACAGTTTTTATATTTGTCGGGGCCAAAACCCAAAAGCACAGTTTTTAAAAGAGAAAATTAAATCCCAGTTAAATGATATTTTAAAAATAACCACTAAAAGAAATACATTAAATGAGCCTTCTGAATACAATTTATAATTCTTCGGAGATAAGAAATGACAAATTAATGTATCAAACAAAAAAAAACGGCAAATTACGGAATATAGCCTGTTAGGAGAGGCCCAACATTGTCTTCATAGGTTCGTCAAAGAATTTGGTTAGGCCCATTTTTATGATTTATGAAGGGCCAAAGCCCAGTGGGTAAACCCGTTTTACATGGGCTTCAATTAGACTGATCCCGTATCAGCCAATTGGGGAAGACGCAACTGAACTCAAGACTCATCCCCTTTCTCTTTCTTTTCAATTTGTTAGGTTCTTATTTTATTGAAAATAATAAAATTAATAAGTAAAAAAAACTATAAAGGACATCTGATTACTGCATATGTTAATATGTAATAAAATATGTGTTTTTTAATTTATTAAAAATTAATGCGCCTTGATTGCTATGTTTAAAAATTTTAGAAAAATGATATAAAAATTAAAAGTAAAAAAATTGAAAGGTTAAAAAATAAGAAAAATCAATAAAGTTGCAAAGAATGGAAATGAAGAATCATCAAAAGAAAACAAAATAAAGTAATAACTTAAAAGAATTACAAAGATAAAAAATTAGAAAAAAAAATGTCATGCGACAATTCTAGTGAAATAATAGCTTTTGGGTTATATATAGATAGATGCTATTCAAAATGTAAAAAATTTAAAATTAAATATTCTATTATTAATTCTGCTACAACATAAACCAAATAGGAACTTACGATAAATACAAAAAAAATATTGTCAATTTTTTTGAAAATATGCTAGTATCACTATTGAAAAGAGAAGAGTACAAGTTTCTCCTCCATAATTTTTGTTTTATCTTCAAATTGATATAAAACTCCAACTAAATGCTATTATCGGTGAGTTATATAGAGAAATGTGTGTATTTATTTTATGGGAAATGTACTTCTCCTTTAATGATAGAAGAAATTTTTTGCAGTAACTAATTAATACTATATATGTCTTACTGGTAAGATATAATTATAATTTTAAAAATTATTTTGTTCTCTTTCCTCGGAAGGTTATCGGCTGACATGATGAAGAAAAAATAAATAAATATTACAACTATATTTTACTGGTAAGATATAGTGTTAATTGATTGCTGCAAAAATATTCTTCCTTATTTTCTATTTAAAAATAGTACTATTCTATTTCTTGAAGAGGTGAAAACATGCCGAAAAAAATAACTTATAAAAAAAGATAAATAATTAGATTCTAGGGTAATTTTTTCTATAATCTATTGAAAATTCTGGTATAGCGCAAAGATAATATATCGTATCTCATATATCTAACTCTATATTCATGTTAACAAAATGTTTAGTAGATTTTAAAATTCAGGTTTCGATGTTCAATTATAAATATATCGGATAGTTCCGACTTCACAAAAATTTAAAATACACTATTGATATTGATAAATTAAAGGAGATTAAAAAAAAATTGATAATAGGATATCTGTGAAGTTCATGTAATATATATATGCCAACTATTTTCTTATCATGTTTTAACACGGCTGTAGATTATGTTTCAACAATTCCCCGCCAATTGATTAATATATTTAATGGTACTTTATGTAAAATATTTTGTGTAAATAAGTGAAAATATTAGATTTCAAAATAAATTTGGCATAATTCAACCTCAAAACTTTGGCATGAGATCTTTACACACCACCTCACACTCAAAACCAATGCGGTAAAAATCAGACCGGACTGGTCGAATCGATTCGGAATTCGATGGACTAGTCATTTGATCGGTCCCGTTATCATATTGGATCAGCCAAGTACTAGACTTGGTGCGACCTGGCCGGTTTTGTTGAAAACTGGTGACTTGGCCAGGATTTTTTCTAAAAAAAATTTAAAAAATTTTCAATTTTTTTTAAAAAAAAATCATAATTGACATATTTTAGTAATCTGTTACTTTTGACTTACATAAGTTATGTATCTATAATACTAATATTATCTCAGTTATGCACTATGCAGAGAATTTTAATTTAATTTATAGGTTAGAGATCTGAACCTAAAACACCAATATCACAAACATTAAATGTTTGTTTGATTCTTTATTCGACAATAATGTATAATTTATTATTTTTTATATTAACAAGTTTAGAATTTATATTATTTTTTTCAGTTATTTGAGTATGTTTATAATTTTTTTTAATATAAATTATAAATTTACATATAATTATCGTGTCATGCGATTGACCCAATGACCTGATACCTCGACCAAGTCAATGAGCGGACCGGTACCTCGACCAGGTTTGCACGACTAGACATTTATAGTGACACAACATTAGAATTGAGGAAGGCTCTAAAACTAAATTAGGATTGATGAGAATAAACTTAACACAACCAAAAAGCTAGAAGTGGGGTTTTAAGATTTCACATAGACTGCGTATTTAAGTAAAATACTACTAATAATGATCTACCAAAAAAAAAAAAATACTACTAATAATGACTTAAAATCCTCCCACTCATGAAGTAACTTTTGAGGTTGAGTTAAATTTGGTACATTCTTAATTACAACCTATCTGAACACATGGTATTCCTTATAACAAACGTAGATCTTTCCTCTTGTTGAACTAGTTTTAACGGGAATAATCTCTTACAACAAGGGTTATTATCACCACCTAGGCTGGTCAATGAGATTGTCACTACCCAAACTGCCATTTTTGACTGTTGACCGACAATTTTTTTTGGTTCCTTCTTTGTGAAAGTGAAAAGTATATGTCTTCTCATTTTCTTCAAATCAGCTGACTGTCCCTTTGTGGTGATGTATATATCTAGATTCTAGACTAATGGCAAAGCAACTTTATGGCACTACACAGTAGAAAAAACGAGAAAGACACCCTAAAAACAGATGAGACAAGAAAGTGGTAAAATGAAAGTGATATTATTGTACGTTCCTTTTTTTCCCCGCACTAAACTGATTTGGCTAAAATAAAGTACACAAAATGTTAATGAACATATAATGCAAACCTTTTTTTTTTTTCCGACCATAATTAGATATATACAACATTCATAGCAACTTTTGTATACTTTTGTTTTTTTATATCAAATAGCATTATAGATGAATTTAGTATACTCTTATAATTCGAAGTCATCTTTTTACTCAAAAATTAATGCATTTCTTCATATTAACCAGACAATTGACTTAAATCTTTGGGTATCATGAGAATATATATAATTGACAATACTCTCCTCGAAGAGATAGATATAGCGAGCGTGGTTGTGTTTTATCCATAGAACAAAGGAGAAAAAAAGAGTAACACAAAATGAGGTGGAATGGAGTGGCTTAGTAAGTGACAATATCGATTGAAGGAAAAGAGTTGATCTCTGACGCAACATGCACTATACATTTGAAACTTTTGTCTAGTTCGTGCCTTTGAAAGAGTGGGCCCAAACTAAGAAGACAAGGATACTTCATTCACATGTTCCTTTTAGGAAGCTAAGGGGTTGTTGACTAGGACTATTTAAATCCACTTAAATGCGATCAAAAATTGGAGTAGGCGCTGAATCACTTAGCATGGGCCATGTTTCTTTTTCAAACAACAGGGTTCAAAGATAAGGTGAATCTGCAAGGCCAGAGTGATCTTCCTTGCTGTTTGTGTTGTCTTTCATATCATCTTGCATTTAATAATTATAGATGGGGTTTTAATTGCACTGCCACGAGATCTGGTGAATATTCTATAATCCACAGATCTAATGCCTCTATCGACCTTTATGGCTTTATCATGCTGGCAAAGTTAGATATAATATATGAGTAAGAGTAGCATATGCTGTCTCTTTTAACTTATAAGTTATTAATAAATTTCTGGCCAGACTATTATTCTTAATGCATTAGCTTGGTTGAGAATTATTTTCACTGTATCCTTAATTCCAATGAAGGTTCCTCTAATTATTTGCCGGCCATGACATATATACCAGTGTCTTGAACCATGTGCTA